CGGGCGGCGCGCCGTGATGATGTAATGGCTTTGTGCGCTGGGCGGCCGGTGGGGGGGCAGCGGGAAGAGTGGCGACCGCTTTCCGTGTTTTCTCCCGACCGCTCGCCGTGCTGGGGCTCGGGCTGCGTCTGCCTCCGGCGCCGGGTCCCAACGAGGCCCGTCCTCTTTTCTTTTCCCGCGTAAGTAACCGTCCCTTCTTCCGGAAGGTGATGTTAATGGGGGGCGCGAGGGGTCGGCGAAGGCGGCGGCGTTTCCGGGCGATGACGGGTCTGGGGGGCGAGTCCTTGAGCGAGGACCGGCTGGTGGCCGTTCCCGACCCGAAGTTTCGGTTCTCCGGAACGGAGGCTCTGGAAGGGAGCAAGGGCGGAAAGGCGGGCTCCTGCTTGCCTTCTCTTTGAGTGGATGTTCCCGCATGGCGGAGGGTTGGACTGGATGGCCTCGGTGGTCTCTTCCAACTCTATGAGTGAAGGGCTCCCGGCCCCCACCAGCTCCTTCATTAGTCGTTAGGCAACCGTCGCAGCCCCCACCCACTGCCCGTAGTGGAAAAGTGCCTGAAATTCCCACCTTACACCGATCACGGGGGTGGCAGGTCTGAGAACCGCTCCATACCCCCACGTGTCTTAGTTCCTGTGTGCCTACTTAACTTATCTTTCTGGTTTTCTTTACTCTTGAAAGGGACAAACGGTTAGATGCCTGCACGCAAGAACCTTTTAAAATCTAAGTGATGCTAACATTAATAGTGGAAAGAAGCTGCATTCTTCATATATTTTAGTGGGAGAATGAAAAGAGAAGGAAGGCTTTATATGTTGCCGTTTAGTTGTTAAGTCGTGTCCGCCTCTTCGTGACCCTATGGAGCAGAGCACACCAGGACCTCCTGTCTTCCACTGCCTCTTGGAGTTTGGTCAAATTCATGTTGGTACCTTCAATGACACTGTCCAACCATCTCATCCTCTGTCGTCCCCTTCTCCTCTTGCCTTCTCTCTTTCCCAACATCAGGGTCTTTTCCAGGGAGTCTTCTCTCCTCATGATCTGGGCAAATTATTGGAGCCTCAGCTTCAGGATCTGTCCTTCCAGTGAGCACTCAGGGCTGATTGATTTCAAAATGGATAGGTTTCTTCTCTTTGCAGTCCAGGGGACTCTCAAGCGTCTCCTCCAGGACCACAATTCAAAAGCATTAATTCTTCGGCGGTCAGCCTTCTTTATCATCCAGCTCTCACTTCCATACATCGCTACTGGGAAAACCATAGCTTTGACTATGGGGACCTTTATCCGCAAGGTGATATCTCTGCTTTTTAAGATGCTGTTCAGGTTTCTCATCGCTTTCCTCCCAAGAGGAGACCATTTTTGTGCTCTCCTCTTTCACCCTCATTAAGAGGTTCTTTAATTCCTCCTCACTTTCTGCCATCAGAGTGCTGTCGTCTGCATATCGGAGGTTGTTGATTCTTCTGGCAATCTTAATTCTGGTTTGGGATTCCTCCAGTCCTCCCTTTCACACAATGTATTCTGTATATAAGTTAAATAAGGGGACAATGTACAGCCTTGTCATATTTCTTTCCCAATTTTGAACCACTCAGTTGTTCCATATCCAGTTCTAACTATTGCTTCCTGTCCCATGTATAGATTTCTCAGAAGATAGATAAGGTGGTCAGGCACTCCCATTTCTTTAAGAACTTGCCATAGTTTGTTGTGGTCCACACAGTCAAAGGCTTTTGCGTAGTCAATGAAGCAAGAAGCAGATGTTTTTCTGGAATTCCCTGGCTTTCCCCATAATCCAGCGCATGTTAGCAATTTGGTCTCGAGTTCCTCTGCCCCTTCGAAATCCAGTTTGTATTTCTGCAAGTTCTCGCTCCACATACTGCTATAGCCTACCTTGTAGGATTTTGAGCATAACCTTGCTAGGCGTGTGAAATCAGTGCAATTTTACAGTTGTTGGAACATTCTTTGGCACTGCCCTTCTTTGGGATTGGAATGTAGACTGATCTTTTCCAATCCTCTGGCCACTGCTAAGTTTTCCAAACTTGCTAGCATATTGAGTGTAGCACCTTAACAGCATCCTCTTTTAAGATTTTAAATAGTTCAACAGGAGTGCCATCACCTCCACTGGCCTTGTTGTTAGTCATGCTTTCTAAGGCCCACCTGACTTCACTCTTCAGGATGTCTGGCTCAAGGTGAGCAACCACACTATCTGGGTTGTCCGGGACATCTAGATCTTTATATAGAGGTTTTATATAGATAGTATAGATAGGTAACAATCCACTTAAATGGTTATTTGTATGTCTCAGGCATGAATATTCATACCGTAACTAACTGAAAACTCTTGGTTGCTACAACTAGAACTTGGACAGTTAAAAGTATTGGTGAAGGGAAGTGTGCTGTTGTCACCTTGCCACGTGTATTCTGTCAAAGTCTGCATGTATTGTTCTCCCAGCCTATGGCAAGTTAATCATGTGCATTTCTTCTTCTGTATTCTGGTTTTGGCTTTTTGCATGCTTTTGCAAATACTTCAAACCTGAGATTTGCAGTTGTCTGATAGTATCTGGGTTCACAGGACAGAAGATCCATATGATCAGATTAACCATGGATTGTGAGGGAGCAGAAGTAGATTTTTTATGAAGTTGCCATGCAACTTGTGTGACTAGATTCAAAGTCAGGGCCAGAAACTGCCGTTTTTTCAGTCACAGTTTTAGTCTATATGTCCTTTCTGTCTGGTTTTCATAAGCCTGTTTCCTGCCTTAAAAACTTAAGGGAATTTATGTCATTTTCTTCTGGTACAATCAGGAAGTGAACATGTCCTTCAGCATCAGTACACAAAGTCTTTATTTTTGTGTTCATAACTTACATATTGTTTGACCTATTAAGGCAATATTGCTTTATGCAATTTAAGCGCTTAGTGTAAACAGTGGATTTAATTTGCAATTTGTGTCAACCAGTAATGTTATGTTAACTATTTCTCCTAACTAGTGCACTTAGTTAAGGAAAAATAAATGCTTGTAGTTTTACCAAATATAATTGCCATTTTACTTATTCAGATTTGGAAGGAGCTCTATTGAAATAGAGATTGCAGCTGATAACTGCACCAGCAGTCTGTGGCACACATATTGACAACGACCATGGGGCTTACTTCCAAATTAATACACCTTTGTGCTATACAAATACTCTTGCGTTTATGTTGGTATGGTGCAGATTAAAAGCTACATCTGATCTCTCTGTGTGACAGGAAATCAATTTAAATGTAAACCTTTGGTTAAAAGTCAAAGTCTGAAATATTTTATTTCACATCTGTTGATATAAAAGGGTTTCCTAGTGTTGATCTATTTGCATTCCGCTGGGTGATAACATAAGCTTGAGTACTGTCTGACCATATAGATACTCATGTTCTATTCACTCTGTTATGTGGTCTGACAGATGCTATATAGTTCACTGTGATGCCCTTCTAAGTTCAAAGGCATTTCCTGCATAATTTTGTGTAGGATTCCAGCCTTAGTTAGATGTTTATGTAACAGCTGAGCAAAGAGATGTTGATCTTTTCCTGAGACATCTCTTGCTTTCCAGTGATGTGCAAATTGGTATATCTGTGTGAGAAAGCTAACAATATATGACTAACTTCTGTGAGTTTATGTTGTAAACAAAGCCAGCAGATTCAACATGTTGTCAACACATGTTGACAGGTTCATCTTCAGATAGCTGGATTTTATTATCTTTATGAATTTGAAATGACTCTTATTTGGTTTGTCTTTTTAGGTATATAACTGAAACCTATTTTATGAAACTGACTTTTTGTCAAGTATACCTTTTTGATGCCTGGTATTTGAAACCTCCTAACTATGCCAGCAGCTACGGTAGATCACAGTCAAAGAATCTGTGAAGTTTGGGCTTGCAACCTGGATGAAGAGATGAAAAAAATTCGTCAAGTTATACGGAAATTTAACTACGTTGCCATGGTATGAGTTTAAGATATTTATGGTCTTTGTTAGGTGTAGAACTATTCTTTAGAAACTATCTGTATGAAAATGATGTGGAGAACATTGTTTAGATTTTCAGGAATAACCAAAGAGCTGCAGTATCATATATTTCATGAGAAAAAGGTCTCAAATAATGTAATGCACTTTTAAGTAAGAACTTAAGTAATGCTTACTTTACATAGTGATTGCAGGTTGTGTTTGGTTTCTAAACATTGATGACTTTAAATGGGTAGATTATGTGGGACAGATGGATGCTGCAGTTTATATTCATGCCAGTACTGCACTTAGTGGTTTGTTCAAACAGTTACAGTATATCACAGAAGTGAGTACACCCCCTCACATTTCATGAATACAGTGGTGCCTCGCATAGCGATCACTTCGTTTTACGACGAAATCACTTTGCGATGCCTTTTTTGCGATCGCAAAAGCGATCGCTTTGCGATGTTCCCTATGGGGGAGTTTCACTTTGCGATGATCGGTACCCTGCTTCGGGCACCGATCATCGCAAAGCGATGATTTTTTAACAGCTGATTGGCTGTTTCAAAATGGCCGCCAGGTAAACAAAATGGCCACCCCCGCTGTGTTTAGGGACTGATTCCTCATTTTAGAGGCACCGAAAATGGTGCTTCTATGGAGGATCTTCGCTTAAAGGTGAGTTTTAAGCCCATAGGAATGCATTAATCGTGTTTTAATGTGTTTCGATGGGCTTTATAATATCGCATAGCGACGTTTTTGTTCTGCAGCGATTTTTGCGGAATGAATTATTGTCGCTATGTGAGGCACCACTGTATTTTGGTATATCTTTTCATGTGACAACACTGAAGAAATGACATTTGGCTACAATGTAAAGCAGTGAGTACACAGCTTGTATCACAGTGTAAATGTGCTGTCCCCCTCAAAACAATGCAACACACAGCCATTGATGTCTAAACCACTGGCAACAAAAGTGAGTACACCCCTAAGTGACAATGTCTAAATTGGGCACAAAGTGTCAATATTTTGTGTCGCTATTTTCCAGCACTGCCTTAACCCTCTTGGGCATAGAGTTCACCAGAGCTTCTCAGGTTGCCACTGAAGTCCACTCCTCCATGACAACATCACAGAGGTGGTGGATGTTAGAGACCTTGAGTACCTCCACCTTCCATTTCAGGATGCCCCACAGATGCTCAGTAGGGTTTAGGTCTGGAGACATGCTTGGCCAATCCATCACCTTTACCCTCAGCTTCGTTAGCAAGGCAGTGGTCTTTTTGGAGGTGTGTTTGGGGTCGTTATCATGTTGGAATACTGTCCTGCGGCCCAGTCTCCGAAGGGAGGGGATCATTCTCTGCTTCATTATGTCATAGCACATGTTGGCATTCATGGTTGCCTCAATGAACTCTAGCTCCCCAGTGCCGGCAGCACTTATGCAGCCCCAGACCATAACACTCCCACCACCATGTTTGATTGTAGGCACAACCCACTTGTCTTTGCAATCCTCACCTGGTTGCCACCACACACGCTTGACACCATCTGAACCCAATAGGTTTAACTTGGTCTCACCGGACCACAGGACATGGTTCCAGAAACCCATGTCCTTAGTCTGCTTGACTGTAGCAAATGGTATGCGGGCTTTCTTGTGCATCATCTTTAGAAGAGGCTTTGTTCTGGGATGACAGCCTGGAGACCAATTTGATGCAGTGTGAGGCATATGGTCTGAGCACTGACACGTCACTCTACCCCTTCAACCTCTGCAGCAATGCTGGCAGCGCTCATATATCTATTTCCCAAAGCCAACTTCTGGATATGATGCTGAGCATGGGCACTACTTTGGTCGACCATGGTGAGGCCTGTTCTGAGTGGAACGTGTCCTGTTAAACGGCTATATGGTTTTGGCCACCATGCTGCAGATCAGTTTCAGGGTTTTGGTAATCTGCTTATAGCCTAGACCATCTTTACGTAGAACAGCAATTGTTTTTTTCAGATCCTCAGATAGTTCATTACCATGAGGTGCCATGTGGAACTTCCAGTGACCAGTCTGAGAGAGTGAGAGCAATAACGCTTGCTCCTCCTTCACACCTGAGACTTGTGACACTAACAGGTCTCATGACACCAGGGAGGGAGAACAGCTACTTGGGCCCAAGTTGGACATTGTCACTTAGGAGTGTACTCACTTTTGTTTCCAGCGGTTTAGACATTAATGGCTGTGTGTTGTGTTATTTTGAGGGGACAGCACATTTACACTGTTATACAGTGGTGCCTTGACTTATGAACTTAATTGATTCCAGAACTCCAGTCATACCTTGAAATAGTTGTAAGTTGAAGCACCATTTCCCATAGGAATGCATTGTAGTGCAATTAATCCATTCCAACTGAAGAAAAAATCACCAAAAAATAATAAAAGAAAACACTGCAAGACCCATCAAAAACACAATTAATCTGTTCCGGCCGAAGGGGGGGGCACAAAGAAAAGCAAACAAGCCATGCAGGACCCTTTGGAAATGCAAAAAAAGGAAAGCAGAAAGCCAAAAAACAAACAAACAAACAAAAAAAAGAACATGCAAGACCCGTCGAAAATGGAAAAGAAACCCCCCCAAAACAAAGAAACCCTGCAAGACTCATCACAGCATAGAAACATAATCCCATCACCCAGCCCAAAACCACACTGCAAAACCCATCCAGAACAGTTTTTAAAAAAGTAGAAAGCAGCACCTTACCAGGCAGTCCAAAGCCGCCTCCGATCGCACATTCTCTAACTGCTGGGGCGAAAGAGCTACAAAGAAGCAGCCTCTTTTCCACCAACGGTTTGCAATTTTAATTCCCGCTTCTCCCCCCGCCTTTTTCTGGTTGTAATCCGAAGCTCTGGCTGCAAGTCAAGGCAAATTTTTGGGGCCAGAGCTGGTCGTAATTTGAAATGGTCGCTTGTCGGGATGTTCATAGGTCGAGCCACCACTGTACAAGCTCGTCGTAATTTGCTTTACATTGTAGCCAAGTGCCATTTCTTCAGTGTTGTCACATGAAAAGATATACCAAAATATTTATGAAATCTGAGGGGGGTGTACTCACTTCTGTGATATATTGTAACTGTCTTATCCATCGGTTTATATTATCTAATAATAATCTTAGAACTACAGACTGGAAGGAACCATAGGTAATTGAGTCCAGCCCCTGTCAAGGAGGCAAAGTGCCGAATTGAAATCCTAGCCTCTGGTTCTGTAGCCAGGTACCTAAACCACTGAGCTGTCCAGGAGTTCTGGACTAGAGCTATCCGTTTTTGAATCTTTTTTCATATTTTTTTTCTGTACAAGCACAATAGCATCTGGAGTTGGACTCAATTTATATTAGATTAGCACTGCATTATAACTGCTAAATAGCTCAGTGCTTTAGGTCTCTAGCTGCAGAGCCAGAGTTCCCCACTGTGCCTCCTTGACACGGGTCGGACTCAGTGATCCATTGGGTCCCTTCCAGCTCTGTAGTTCTAAGACTTAGTTATGTCTATATGTAAATAGTTTTGTGTGTGATCTAAAAAATTGCTAGTAGGACATGGGTATGTTGGGGAGAGTTCTTGCACCAGTGTGGTAACTTGGAATGGTCTGTCTACTTCAGTATAGTAGCAGTAAGGCCTAGCAGGAATCAGATGAAAAGGATTGTGACAGGGCATGAGGGGGGAAGCTAAATCAGATACCCCTTTACATGCTGTGCTAACATGTAATGTGCTGCAACCACAGAATGTAATGTTACTAATAACTTAAAAAACTGTTAACTAAATGCTGTGGTCAATCATCCAAAAGGCTGTAACATTGAACCACTTCACAGTGGTCCTTGGGGGCATTCACATGGATAAGATTAGATTGCAAAATAGATTTATGTTCTTATACATAAGCTGGCTTTGCACATTAGGAAGGCATTCAGGGTTCTGTGAAGCATTTGATCCCTGCCCCAGATGTGTTGGTCTTAGTGGTCTTCTTAATGTAATCTGTATTTTGTCTGTGCTATTTGTGCTTAATTTTTAGGACACAGAATTTCCAGGTGTAGTTGCACGGCCTATTGGAGAATTCCGAAGCAATGCGGACTATCAATACCAGCTACTCCGCTGTAATGTAGACTTACTAAAGATAATTCAGTTAGGGCTTACCTTTATGAATGAGCAAGGCGAATATCCTCCGGGAACTTCAACGTGGCAATTTAATTTTAAATTTAATTTAACGTAAGTGCCAGAAGTTGACAGCAAGAGTGTTCAAACTTTATGGAATAAAATACATTTTAACATATCAAGGGATTGGTGTCAGTACTTTTAGTGTGTTTTTCTTCGTCTTTATGTTTGTTTAGGAAGAATGATAAATTTTGCTTGTATGGAGTAAATTTGCTTCTCTTGCTTTAATATTATTTTACCATTACTTTCTCTGTTTTATTCTGCAGAAGAGCCAAATTTGTCATGGTTGAAGACCATGTATACATAAATACGTTCATTATACATGTATAGCCAGGGCTAAGTCCAATGTTTTATTAGTGGTTGCCATGAAACATTCTTCACCCTTTGTGCAGCCTGAAAATCTTATCCTTCAGTCCTCCATAAACACTGTTTTAGGGTGCATGCTGGGTTACACTGGAGAGCAGGAAATGAAAACGTAACCTGTTTCACCACTGAAATGGCAGATTTTGGGAGAAAGTGACACTTTGGATACTGTTCATGCAGTTTAAGCGTTAAGCTACTTTATTTTCCTTGATTATTGTAGAAACTTCTTCATTGGTATACTTACAGTGGCAGCTTTACACTGCAATTATGAGAATGCTTATTAGAAATAGATTTCATTAGTTTCATTGGGATTTTTCTGTATAAGTATGCTTAAGATTGCAACCTGAAAGCCTAGCACTTTGCATCTTTATTTAGAGTAACATCCCACTGAGTGCATTGTGTAAATTGAATTGTATGGTTTGTCTCTGGGCAAATGTATAAATACGTAGCTATCTCTCTTCCAGCTTACAACTTGCAGGTTTGACTTCTTAGATATGCTTTGATCACCTCAAAATAGGCAAAATGTTTTTGATTATAACCGATAAATTCTAGTGGGCCAAGAGATGCACAGCTCCTGTGAGAGTTAGGGTGGTGTAAGAAAGATTTTTCTGTAGCCCACAGTAAGTTTGAGCTGGTTTCCCTGAGATGTGTTGTACCTGTGCTTAACAAGTAACTTAGATTGCTATCCTATATTTGTGAATATGGGTGGGACCTATTGAGTAGCCATACATAGGAATAACCTCAAAAAATTTTTCAGTGTTTTTAATGATGATGTTCTACGTTGTTTCCCGTAGAGAAGACATGTATGCCCAGGATTCTATAGAATTACTAACAACATCTGGAATTCAGTTCAAAAAACATGAGGAAGAAGGAATTGAAACACAGTACTTTGCTGAACTTCTTATGACATCTGGTGTAGTGCTATGTGAAGGAGTCAAATGGCTTTCATTTCATAGGTAAAAGTAGTATATAAAATGTCATTTGCATTGTTCATTTTCTTTTTCTTTTTCTGAGACTATAATGCGATTTTAGTTTATGTTAGAACATTGGGACCCAATGGGTTTTGGACCTATCCATGTGATTTTGTTGTAAAGGTTTTACTAATTTAAAGTTATCTCTCAAACTTGCACGTTGGCTCCTTTGGGAAACAAATGATCTGTATCTTAAAGGTACTAAGTGTTGGCCTTGTAGAGAGGGAGCACTGTATTTTTCTATTTTGCTTTGACAGTTTCCCAGGTCAGAGGAAGGAACAGCCACATATCTCTGCCCTTTGTGTACGCTTAGCAGGTAAATGGAAACTGGAATTAGTTGATTAACATCGGTGGAAAATCCAAATTCAGTACAGCTCTGAAGACACTTTGATAATGCTGGTAGGGAACACATGAACCTTCTATCTTACCTGTAATGCCAAATATTGGAAGAATAAAAATTTTAATTTTGTTGCTGCATGGGTTATTTTATTTGGACCAGTAATGCTATTCTTTTAGCTCCTTGAGCCTCACCTCCTGAAGACCTAGTGAAAGAAAATGGCTGAAATCAACTTAAAAGGGTTTGGATTTTGATCTAGATTACTGTATAAGCACTCTAATTTTTTGAATTGGTTGCACCAACCTGGGAATGCTTGGAATTTTTTCTGCTCACTCCACAGTGCATTACGGAAACTTCTGCCACCATGTAACTGACATTAAAAATGAGAAAGAATGCTTATTTGATGAATTATTTATTGAAATGTCTTAACTACTGGGGACAGTATTTATATACACACACGCGCGTGGGAGAGTTTATTTAGCAGGTTATCAGTACAAGTCTTAAACATATTCAGCATTAGGCACTGCTGATGCACAGGCCTGAGGCATGTTTGCTGGCTTGAATGGTCCAGTCAACTAACCCTTTTGAAACAGAAAAAAAATTTCTGTTTCAAAAGCAGCTCCAGCTCTAACTGATATGACTAAGGTACTTGTGCTCTCATTTTTAATAGCCCCCAATGAGGAAGACATGAATTGAGCTTACGTTGTGCTTTATGTAGTTAGAAGAAACAAAGAGAAGACATTTAAAAATCATCATTACTGTTCAGCCCAGGCAGCTGGTGGAGGAATGCTAAAATATTTGGAGTTTCAATATCGTTTTGGTTATGTTAGAAATCTTGAGATTATTTTGAAGCCTATAAAATTAGAGGACCTTGGTAGGCTTTTCCAGCATCTTCTCCCCCTAAAAATTTTCAGTGGCTGTCATGTAGAATCTTATGGGCAGGGATTAGGCCGGTTTTACTTTTGCTGTTCCTGTTGGGGTGTTATGTAAAGAAAAAAAAAATTTGTGGGTGGCAACAGTTTTAAGTGAATGGGATTAATGTAGAATAATTAAGTTGAAAGGTAGCATTGCTTTGTGAAATATTGACACAGGTATAAAAATAATACAAGTCATTGAAATGGTCTCAGACTTAATAAGGAGGTACTGAGTATGGCAAGCATGTAGCACTAAGGAAGCATCAAAGAGAAAATGTACTAATTGCATATCTGTCAAATGTTTGGTTAAACTTCAATATCCCAAATGTAGAGTATACTGACAATGAGTAATTCATATTGGATGTTTTAGATAGGCAAACAAGATTTGCCTTTGTTGGTGGTTCTACTGAAGATACTAGCATTTTTTTTTTAGTTAACTCAGAATTGTATTGCTGTGGAGCAACACTATACATAAATGAAGGGTTAGTAGATTGTTAAATCCATCTCCTTATCTAGCACCACCCCGCCCATTCATGGAATATGGCAACAATAACATCCGTAAAAAAAATGCAAGTTAGAAGTGGTAGGCTGGCAGTCCTAAGGTTTATAAACCATTTATCATGTGGTACCCCTGTCTGCTTTGTGCTAGTGATGGGAAACTTGTCATAGGAATCCAGCTGCAGTATGGGCCAGTTGGTTATTGTTTCAGCAGCCGAGAAAAAAGATAAATTGAATATTAGGATAATCTATTTTAATATTCAGTATTTTAATTTTTGGCATCAATACAAACAACTCTATCAGTGCCCCTTTAATTAGTTTTAGTTTTGATTCTATATTATCCAGATTTGATGATCCAAGGACAACTGGAAATTCTGTTATTTCAGAAAAGGTAAATGGGCCTAGATTTTATGATTTATAAATAAATTGTGGCAATTCAAAACAGAATAAGTGATGAAAGTGCAGGATTATCTGCCTTAATTTGTTTTCAGTATGTACAGAGAAGGCCTCCATTACTCATTGTTCCTAGGGGTGTGCATGATATTTGGTTGTTATTCTGTATATTTTTTGGAGTATAGGATTGGGGTGGATGTGATGTGAAGCAGCATATAAAAAACCCCAGAAATGTTGAGTTTATTTGTTAGTGTTGCTGAGAACTGCTATAAAAATGTTAAATGCTACTGGAAAATATATCAAGGGTAGCAATAAATTACTGTATTTTTTGTGTATAAGACTCCCCATGTATTAACCCCCCCCACTTTTCTAAATCAAAATTTCTTTCTTTGCAAGAAAGTGGAGGGGGAAAGCTCCTGCTTTCTCCCTACATTTTCATTGCAAAAAGCAGCTTTCCTCCTCCAGGTTTTGCAAAGAAAATGCAGGGGGAAAGCGATTTCTACCTCCCCCCTACATTTTCATAGCAAAAAGCAGCTCCCCCCCCCCACCAAGTAAAGGAAAGAAAATGAAGGGGGAAAGCAATTTCTGCTTTCCTCCTACGTCTTCGTTGCAAAAAGCAGCTTCCCACCTCCAGGTTTTGCAAAGAATTCGATTGTATCTCCTATGAGATACAATTGTCGGCTGAATAACTCAGTGAGGCATCTGATTGCATCTGACTGCACAGCACACTGGCTTCCCCCCCTCCAGGTTTTGCAAAGAAAGCGATTGTATCTCCTATATGAGATACAATTGTCAGCTGAATAACTCAGTGAGTTAGGCATCTGACTGCACAGCACACTTCAAAGCTACTGTGTTACAGATTAGCCTCAAGAAAGCATGCTTAATATTGGCGTTAAGGTATAAGAAGACAAAATGACCGTTTTATAGAGTATAAGCGCAAAAGAATTGTCTTGTAAAATTGTGTATTACTATAGACATAAACTTTACGCAATTGAACATTCATGAAAAGTTGTCTGCAAAAATACTGTAGAAGAATTAGGCTTGAATTGTTACTTCAGCAGCAGCATGTACTGTAGGTATAAATAAATAAAATAAATTTGAACTTAGTATTTGCTGTGTTTAAAACTGATAAGCACTCCATTTAAAGAACAAAGTGTGGGTATAAAGAGAGGAAATGGCAAATCAATCAATCAATAAAAAACACAGATGATGAAAATCTGAATGGGTGTCTTGGCTCTCAGACCCGTCTTTGGGCAGATACTAGTGCTCAAAATGCACAGCAAAACACCTAAGCTTTGTAAATCAAGAACAGCAAAAAATGTGGAGAGAGCTTCAAAAGTCTTAGAAGGTTTGAATAATCTTTGATATTTTTAAGATATCCTCTCACACCAAACATTTTCAGAGCAACCAGGGGTTATGCTGTTGTCCTTTCATGCATCTCACCATCTTCCAGGACTAGGATTAGAGACAGAACCTTGGGAAACTATTGAGAATAAAAAGGTGCAAGTTTTTGACCTCTATCCCTTGAGACACCTAAGATGCAGCAGTGCATCTAGTCACCTGCCCTTTGTTATGAACAGCCTCTTAAAGCGTTCTTCATAAATTGTATCAATATACAGGTTGCTCATCCATTCTTTAAGAGAAACAGTTGAGTTTGATCACCGTGTCCACAGTTTTTGCATCCTTATATATATATCTTTGGTATATTTCCTTTGAAAAGGAGGTGCATAATAAACTCATTAGATGCACCAGCCAACAATTTTGCAAATGTGTTTTCTCTTTAAGCAGCTGCTCATAATCAGTAGATGGAACCTTTATATGTTTAGAGTTTCAGTCACTAAAAAGATGATGAGAACATCTGGAGGCCCGAGGTTGGGGACCACTGGTTTAGAGTTTCGGTCACTAAAAAGATGATGTGGTAGAGTTGGAACAGGGGCAACCAAAAGGCTCAAGGGGCTGGAACAGCTCACTTCTGAGGACAGGTTGCAGTGCTTTGGCCTGTTTTAAGGAAAAAAAAAAGCAAGTACAGAGAAATATGGTAGAGGTGTGTGAAATTAGATGAGGACAGGTTGCAGTGCTTTGGCCTGTTCTAAGAAAAGAAAAAAGCAAATACAGAGAAATATGGCAGAGGTGTGCGAAATTAGGTAAAAGCAAAATAGAAATAAAAAGTTAAAAAAGACAAAAACATGGTGGCATCTGAAAGATGAACTTCAATATTTTTTTAATGTGAGCCTTTATGGACAACTCCACTATCAGGCATAAGATCTTACATTAAAAATATAAAAATTCCTCTTTAAGGTGCCACCATGTTTTTGTCTTAACATTTTGTTTCTATTTTGCTTTTACCTATAGTACTTGCTCGGACTAAAACAGCTATCCCTTCTACAACTCCATGTATGAAATTCTGCATGATATAGAAAAAAAGTAGATGAGGATCCTATTTACATTCTTAAGCTTGTCAAAGTTGGGCACGTTTGAAAAGACTATAAAATAGTTCAAATATCCTAGTTTTTCAGTAACTATTTGTTCATAAAACTGGATAATATGCTTCTTTAAAGGACTTGGCAATGCTTGTTTGTGAGTTTTACGAATTTGCGTCCCCACCCCTGCACATGTTATGAGTGGTTACAAGTCCTTGCCCAGAGGATCAAAAAAGCCATGTGTCTGTGTATATCCAGTTGCTTCGTACTGGAGGACTCAGACTTTTCCATTCCTGCTGCTGTTTCTTATGCTGTGTTAGAAGTGTGGTCTTTGGAGAAGTTCTTTGTGGGGTTCAGAGAGAATTGTGATGGAAGGGGAATGGCTTGGAAGTTGGCTAGGAAACATGTTGCTCTGTCTACAGCTCTTTGGAATCTCCTTTAGTCTTTTCTGTTGACTTTCTTTAGTTACCAAGAAATACATTGTATACAAAGATAAGTAAATATACCTGATTTGGGGGAGACTGCTGGTTATTCTGAGCAAGCCTTTTATCTGATTAAAACAATATTGAGCACCTGATGAACTGTACTGTGGCATGGCAGACACTCTGTACAAGACATAATAAACTAAATAAATAGCTGCAAATCAAATTTCCAAATACTACCAAGTACTGTTTATAACAGTTCAAATTGTGTGCCATATATTGTCTTAAAATAGACTTTTGACAACTGTTGTTTTGAGAGTGGCTATCTGAATATATTATATGAGATATATGGGAAGGAGAAGATCTGATTAGATATGTTGACTGACAAACAGCCATGATAGTTTGCAAAAATGCCTTGTAGATTACCAGTTGAGATGTAGTGGTAAACTACGGCTTAATCCAGAGCACAGAGTAGCTATGTTTAGTGCGTTAGGAATGAGTTCACAAGCCTGGGGTTTCTTTCAGGCTTTTTCTTTCGTACCAGGATTTTGGCATTGCGCCTGAAACAGGTCATGCTCCTTGAACAAAGAGGAAAGGTGTCTTGGATATTTGAGAATGTATCAAGAACAGAGTTGCATGGAGCACATAGGTTTCTTAACTGAGTGAGTGCCTCACATAAGTATTAGTGACAATTCCACTCATGTAAAAGGATTTGGCCAGAATTGTAGTGTCATTACTATGTTAAATAGCATGCAGATGGAGAAGAAAGAAGGAATTTTGATATGTTTTCTGGCTTTGTTGTTCTTATTTGAAAGGAGGAACTTCTGAACTACCTGTCTAATCTTAGGTGTTTTTCTTTTGTTTCCCTTGTGGTTACTCTGCAGTGGCTATGACTTTGGATATCTGATAAAGATCTTGACAAATTCCAATTTACCTGAAGAAGAAGTGGACTTCTTTGAGATACTGAGATTGTTTTTCCCTGTCATTTATGATGTGAAGTACCTTATGAAGAGTTGCAAAAATCTCAAGGTAAATGGCTGAATATTTTCCATAGGGTTCAAACAGTATTTTCTGGTATATTAGTTTTTTGAGAGAGATGGATAATGTATAGGATAAGCATTGTCTTGCCTTTGGCCTTTGTAGCAACATCCATAAACTGTTACAGTCGAACCTAGTTTCCAGACAGAAAGTTGTACACAGAAATGCTTATTGAAAACTGGTTATCCAGGAGATTGTAGCTTGATTTAAAATGCAGGGAAGTGCATGGTTATGTGAGCCTCAAGAGCTGAGGGATGCGTTCCACCTTGGAAAGAGCTAAGTCTGTGTCAGTGTAATGCATTTCTATTGGAAAAAAAGAGCATACGGATGTGTGTTCTTAAGCACTAGGTAGGATTTAGATTTGTGAGACTTTTCCATCGCAGAATAATAATCCCATCTGAGCGTCTATTTTTCTCTCTCTCAGAAGAATGAGAAAAATAAAACTAAATTTTTGGAAGCAGTTGCCCAGCCTGGAACTTGGACGGGAAAGGTCATGCCGTGTGCACAGGTTCTTTAATCATATGCCTGATATTTTACAGTAAGGAGATTGAATGTGCTCAGTCCATTAGGAGTTCATGTTTTTGAGGCTTGAGATAAGGAGATGATTTGCCATGTGCCAGAAACTGATGTGTGTGGTAGTTCTAAGGAACGTGGCGAGAAACCTTTGGCTGTCTCTTCTGATAGTTGTTACAGCCGTTAACAGAGCCCATCTTTTCAGCCTGCTCTCTTCGTCGCTGCCTTTCTAGCTGTCTTTAGTACAGGCTGTAGCAGAGAGGAATTTTAAAAATCCTGAAGCAAATGGTAACACTCTTTTTATTTCTTCACAATTATAGTTGGAAGGGTGGCACCACTAAGGGAGGTCCGGAAAGGAGCTCTTCATGATCACCTAAAGCACTTATAGATAACTATAGTTACCTAAAGGTTTCTCAGTATATGACAGTTCTCCTTTGTGCTCCTGTGTGAACTTCCAAGCTTCATTTCTTACTCCTAGTCTGATAATAAAGTAGATGGCATGAAACAGCAAGTATATGACCAAAGGCATCGGAAGAAGTCAAGAAACAGGACGGGCTTGGATTTATTTTGTTGAGACTGCTAAGAAGCCAGTTGGGCTACTAACTGGCCTTTTCTGTTAGGCATAGCATTTGGAAACGCACATTGGACTGAAGAACAAATGCACCCTGGAAAAGGAGGCATGAATGAAAGAAGAGCAAGGTGGAATGTTACTGCTCCTGTGGTGTTAACAGACTCAAGAAAAAAAAACCCTGTAATACAGACTGCTACTGAGTTTAAAGGTGCAAAATTGACCTGAGGCAAAAGTATAGTTTAGTATTATGAAGGAAAACAAGCATGGGTTCTTGTAAGGAAAGAATTTAAAGTGTGTGCTTTTCTGCAGTATGATTCGATTGTGATTTAAGTGTATATTGGTCATCTTTTTGCTCAGACAATGATGTAAAGATGTAGTCAAAATTATGGCCTGCTTGTGTGTAATAAACATTATCTACTGGTAAAGAAATACAAGTAGATACTGAACATTCTGGAGAGAGATAAATCTGAAGACTTTGTGGGGAAGGGGCTGGAGTGAGTTGAGTTCTTACCTTCCTGATACATTGTCTTCATAAAGGAATTATTTAAAAATTTGTCTCTGGGGAAAGGGGTGGTTAAATAGTAGCAGTGTTTTCCAATTTTCACTTGAATGTCAGCTGCCATCTTGATACAGTATTTATAATTGTATGACCATGCAGCTTGATTTCCATGTTGCTGTTAGTGACATGTCAAGTAAACATTAAGTTTTTCAAACAATGGGATCTGATATTTGTCCTATGTATAGATGTGCAGAAGTCTAAAGTTGCTCAACTAAATGGTCTAACTTGCTAATGGATATGCTGTTTGTTTTGGTCACTTACTACACAATAAAACCATATCTGGCTGTTGTAATCTATTCCTTCATCTCTTGTCGTCTTTTACATTTCTCCTGAGAATACTAAAACCTGCAGAATAAGTAATTTGGGGATAGCTGATTTGCAAGGCAGAAAGTGCACAATCAGTACCACATTCGAGCAATGGCTGTGAACGTCTGTTTAGTTTTTAAACCTCCAGGGTCTGAAGGTTTTCTTGTAGAATTCTTGAGTGTTCCTGGAGGACACACTACATCTTCCAGGCCTTTGCAGTGTTTCCCTCAATCTAGGCCACCCTGTATGTATGCATCTTGCTTTAAGGTTGTCTTCTCTCCTCTTGCCTCCCCACTCCCCCATTCTGTATTCACCTTTTTACTGCCTTCTTTTGGCTTCATTCCAGCCGTTAGGCTGGAGCTAGGTAAATAATGTGCAAGGTGAGTGCAAGTGTTTTTACAAAGAAATAAAAGACTATATAGAACCAGGGACTGTGCGAGGTGTATTGAGGGCATCTAAGGCTGGTCTGGTTGCTGGGAATATCTAAGAGTTGTCAAATGCTTTATTTCTTGTGACTTTGTGTTATTTAATCAGTTCCACGTGTTCATTCTAAATTGTCTGGTCGGTACACTAGCTTCCACAACCTAGTGTCCTCCAGAGTGGGGATGATGATGATGATTTAAAAAAACACCATGTGAATAATATAACAGCATCTCAATATCAAGACTGTTGCCAAAAATCTGCTCTTTCCTAAAAGAGTACTCCATTTTGACTAGAACCTTACCGTTTCAGCAATTTGAATGCTTTTCTTAATTGATAAAACAGAATCCTAACCTTAATGCCTATGGCTTTCTGTCATAGAATATGGAAACGCTGTATCTTGAACTTGAGTTGTAGAGGGAGAGTTATATTTGATTTTAGGTAACATTTTAAGGATAATGCAAGCTTTTGTGTTTGTATCAAAGATCTGAATTAGAAAAAAGACATTCTATTTTGGACTGTATGGAATGCCCTGTTTGGTACAGTGGACCCTTGACTTACAGACGGCTTGACTTACAGACTTTTTGACTTGAGAACCGCCTTCCAATACGTATTAAGTTCTCAAGTCAAGACCCCACTGTATAACAATTTCTGTGGCTTGGAATGTAAAAATATAAATAAGTGGGGCATCTGAAAATCCATACTCTTATGTGAGAAGACTTTCAGAAGCATAGAACTTCAACTAGGATTATAGTTCCAAGAAATATCCCTTTTTTCCGGCTTTGCTTTCTCTGTGAATTTCTTCTTCTCCCAAAAATGTTATAGAGTGGGTCAGAGGGAAGGGTAGAAAGAGTTTTTTTACCTGCTGTCCCATTACCTGATGCCTCAACATGCCATTTTCTGATTGTGCAGTGCTTTTGTCTTTCAGGGTGGCCTGCAAGAAGTTGCTGAGCAGTTAGAGTTGGAGCGGATAGGTCCACAGCATCAGGCAGGATCGGATTCTCTGTTAACGGGCATGGCATTCTTCAAAATGAGAGAGGTAGGTGGCTTTGAGTCTTTGTTTTTCGCTAAGCCAGTTGGATAAAAGAAAGTGTCATTTTAATTGTTATTGGGGTTTGTGCTGAATGAGGTAACGCTGGAAATAGGTTATTCAAAGAATAAGGCGGAAGTACTGTAGGAGCAACCTGCCCCTGTGCCATTCTCTGTGTGTGTTGTGCCAAAGGGCAGTTGTAGCTTATTTTTTTCTTTCTGTATCATGATTTTTTCACCCATGCAAAATATTTGTGTTCTTTCATTTATTAAAATATTTGTCTTTCTCTGTTTGTTAGACGTCCTCCCATGGCACTTTTCTTTCTCTCAGCTGCTTTATTTCTTTCTTTCAGCTGTTGTGTTTCTTCCAGCTAACTCAGGGAGTTAGTACTGCATTTGCTGGCATATAAGACTAGTTTTTTGCCCTGAAAAACATGCCTCCAAGTGGGGGGGGGGTCATCTTATATGCCGGGTGCACTTCAGTTGGGATAGACATAGCTGCCCATAGTGGCCTTCCAATGCTTGCGTGGTGCCCATAGTAGCCTCCCAATGCCTGCCCACCTCATTCTACATACCGTCCAGTATCGCATGGTATCCAGTGCGGCCGTGGCGAGCATGATCAGCGAGACGGGGTGCCAGCCTTTTCAATGCGACTGGCCTGTTCTGCTCGGCGGGAAGCAGCGGCGCTCCGGCCCACCCCTTGTCTACGCAGAGCTCACACATGCGCACTTGCACACTAGTGCCGGTCACAGGGAGATGCAGGGGCGGGCTGGAGGCGCTGCGGTCACGCTGCAGCCGTACAATGGTGACAATGAATAGCACCTTTTATTTGGTGTGTGGAAGGTGTGTGGAAGAAGGGGTAGTCTTATACGGCGAGTATATAACAAACTGTATTTTGAGTGGAAATGTTGGGGGGTCGTCTTATACGCCCAGTCGTCTTATACGCCGGCAAATACGGTACATTGTTCCCTGAGCTAACTGGAAGAAGGCACCAGTGTCTGTAAGCTATGCAATAGCCAGTGCTTGGAAAAGTTAGTTTATTTTTTTTAAAAGTCGCCTCCCTGAATCCTTTAGTTAGGAATGCTGGTTGGGGGATTCTGGGAGTTGTAGTCAAAAAACCTCATGCTCCCAAGCTCTGATGGTGATACAGTGGTGCCTGTCCCTGTAGCTGTGTTCTCAGAGAACAAGAGGAACTTTTCTGGAGGTCTGAATATAATGCTGTTCATTTCTAGCCCATCTGGTGAGGGACTATCAAGCTGCTGATTTGAAGCAGGCGGAGACTCATACGGAATTTTCTTCCTTGTGAAGGAATGGGGGAAATTGGGGTGCTTGCCAGTGTCCTGCTAAATTTGGGTGTAAATTCAGAAAAAGTTAAATGGGAAGATGGAAGGTGGGAAACATCTGTAATCCCCTTTTTTCTTTTAATATTGGGTAGGGCTGAATATTAGAATCATGAAAGTGGCAATAAGATCACCATCTCTTTGTCCTGTCACCCCTCCCCGCAGCTTCAGGAATATTTTCACCAAGTTTTAGAGAGAGGAAGGAACAGCTGCAGTCTCTCCCAAGAGAGAGAAGCTGTGTGGGAAACACTGCTGCTATTAAAAGTACAGTACAACTTTTGTGAGGAAGGACACAGGCAGCCTTGTTAGTATGGTGGCTTCATCTGTCATGTCCTTTTGATTTTGTGTCTGGGATGGGCAGAGGTGTTACTGTTTTTCAGTGGTTCTGTTCCTGATTGTAACACTGGACCTACATGGTAGTACGGAGAGACTCATTCTAAATGTGCAGTTTCCAAACCTAAGACAGACTTTCGGTTTGAGAATGCCACAAAAGTCCATTCTGTCTCCGATACCTATATGGAATTGTAGGCGGAAGTTATCCGAGTCTGGGCTGATGTCACTATAGTATGCTGGTAACACCCAGCTCTGCTCCAGTTTCCAAGGCCTGGTGACAGGAAGAGAGTGGGAGTGATAAGAATGTGTTTGGGGTGGATAGACATTAAACAAGCCAAACTTAATCCAGTTAAAGTGGAGGTACTGTTTATCAGCCATCCTGGTGATCTGGACCAAGTGGTTCATCCTGTTCAGGTGTGGGTTGCATTTGCTTTGAAGGAACTTATACACAGGTTTCAGATAGGGAACTAGTCCTTGATCTACTGTTATTGTTGGGTATTCAAGTGATGGAGGTTAAGAGGAGATAGCTTTCTTATCAGTTTCAATTTACAGGCTAGCTACAGCCTTTTTAGAGAAGTAAACTTTGACTGCAAACATTCATGCTTGAGTTACCTCTAGTGCCCTGCATGACTGCTGCTTTGGAAAACAGTTTGGAAGATCAGATTGTTCAAAATGTCATGCCACTTGCTTATAACTTGGGGGGTGGGGTGGGGATTAACCTGCAGAGGTCTGGAAGCTATATACAGAGAGAGCCTTATAGGGTTACATCCAGTCAGGGATCCTGCTTACTCCAAGGACAGTTCATTTTTAAAAAATAAAAAAGTTCCTTTTTGTCCTCTAATCAAAACAAAAACATTGTTTTTAGAAAATTCTCAAAATTTGAAAGGTGATATCCCCCCCCCCAATGTTAAAATTGCCTCCCATACTCTATAGAAGATGCAAGGGAGCTTCTGGGACAACTTTTGAAAAGTAAAAATAAAAATATGGGTGGTTTGGGAGGATGGGGCCAAGACTTCTTGTTTTCTTCCACATTAAATTTATAGTTAAATTTCAAACCTTCCAACACCTGAATGACTGTGAAGCACTCAGGTTTTTGTAGGGCGAGAAAGCCTACAGTCCTCTTGCAATTCTGGTCTGACTCTGAGTTCCCCTTCTGGCCAAGCTACCTTCCCCATAACATTGCTCCTTGGTGACCTTTTACACATTCTGCAAGGTTGAAAAAAATACTTCTGAGGCTTAGTTACAAGGAGTTGGATGGTTAAACTAAAATACTCTGTTGATTTCTAGCCCATCTTACATCCCCGAAGGGATTAACAAGCTGCTGATTTGAGGCATGCAGGACATCATATGGAATGTTCTTTCTTGTGAAGGAATGGGGGAAATCGGGGTGCTTGTCCGTGTCCTTGGCCAGGTGGAAGTTCTGCATCATCACTTTAGGCCTGGGGTGGGAAGTAGCAGCCCCCAATTTAAAACTTCCTTTGAATTATGTTGTTCAGAAAGTCTTCTATGTTCTGTATTCTTCAAGGGGTGCAGGGGAAAATTCTGCAGAGTTTAGAGGTGAGTTAACATGCACAGGGACCCCATACCCCCCTTTTCCAGTTAAGAATAACCCTTTATTGGAACTTTTACAGTACATAACAACTAAAATGCCCAAAAATGCAAATTAGCTCTGCCTCTTGGAAATGGAGCTCTTGGTCTGCCAGCAGATTTGAAAAATGGCATTTTATTGATGTTGCCCAATCCTGCTTTAAGGCTATTTACTCACATATAGTCCTGAGGGGAAAAAATTATTTTGATCTGTAACCTATTTTATTATTGCTGCTTTTAAGTTTTTGGTTTGTGTTTAAATCTTTGCGTAATGTTGATTTTTTTTAGAAATATCGTGTATTGGTTTACGATTGTGCTGTACATAATTTCTCGTATTTTTCATGGAGAGTTGGAGTAAAGTTACTGCTTTTCATTCTGTGGGAGGAGACATTTTATAAAGTTTTGGATATTTGTTATCTATGAATATTATAGATCACACACAGTTCTTACTAACAGCCTTCAAAGAAGGGTCAATATTGACTTCTATTTCAAATTTTCTTCAGATGTTCTTTGAAGATCACATCGATGACGCCAAATACTGTGGTCACCTGTATGGTCTTGGTTCGGGGTCATCTTATGTACAAAATGGGACAGGAAATGCATATGAAGAAGAAGCCAACAAGCAATCATGACATGAAATGGAAAGCCACTTTTTCTGAGCACCACATGCTTGTACATAGGTTTTATCTCTGGTTGAATCCCCTTGGACAACAAGGCTCCCCCCCCCCCCATCAGCACACTTTTTTTCTGCCTTTGTATGTACTAAATCTGACTGTTCCTATCCCAGTTTCTTGATCTTGACATTTAGGCGTTTCTGGGTGAAATGTGGCCTTGTACCTTCCCATTTGTACGTAAGCACATGTAGGAGCAGCGTGGCAGATAGAAGAGGAAAGCTGAAATGATAATGAAATTTCTGATAAACTTTGATTGGTCTTAGTATTGGTTTATTATCCCCACCCTCCAAAAAAACAAACAAACTTGAACTAGCACTGATTGTAGTCTATTTCCCTTTTTGATGTTCATCCCTTCCACTGTACAGGAGTTTTAGCTATTCAAGATTGTGGACCATCACATGTGCACTTTAGAAGAGTGACTCTGAGTCAGATCCTCTGTTTTATCTGAAATTTTGGTTTCTCTTCTCTGAACTAGGCAAAATGTTTGTCTGCCCAACAGGGCAAGCTCATGGTTGCCCCGCTGTCTGCCCAGTTTCAAATCCATTAAACCCACTGCATTATCTCTGTTGAAAACTACTGAAATCTTAGCAGCTGCTCTTGTATGTAAACTGGTGTCCGGTCTTCCAAATGTATCCTGCACTCACCAGCTTTTAATTGGCTTGCCAGTTTAACACTGCTCTGACAGAAATAACTAGGTGGAGTCAGGAAGAATCACCCCTATGGACACTCCACTGACTTGAGAGACACTTGTGTGGCATCTAATCTGTTAATTTCCTGGTGGTCTGTGTTAAAGATAAAGAAATTCCTCATGGATTTGTCCCCTTTGAAAATAAGCATTACAGTCTTCAAGAAGGTGTCTGTGCCTATCTTTGATTTCGTGTCTGGGTGGAATAATTGAAAAGATTTAGAGAGCAGATAGATGAATAGCACACACTGATTATGGATCCAATTCTTATTCCTGTTTCAGCCAGCTATGCCCTAAATACACTATTTTAAAATCTTATTTATTGTCTACTTGAATAGATGAACATAACTCAGTTTCAGAATAAGATCCAAAGATTTGAAACCAACGTGATATTGAACTAGATAGAAAAAGGAGAATAGGTGTGTCCTTTTTTTTGAACTCATTGCAAAGGACATTTCTTGTAAAACAACAAATCTGTTTGTACCTAATAAAGTTACCTGAGGCTTGTAAGGCTAGCTTATTTTTTGAGTCTATCTTAGCAATATATTTTATAAATGCATTGTTTTATTAAAGGACCACAAAGTACTTTCTTCACCATTCTGAGCGTGCTTCTACAGTTGTGCAGGAAGACTAACTGATACTGAATATCTAAACCCTAACCTAAAATGATGGTGTGCCTGTGGCAACATTTTGTGTGTCATCTACACTGAAGATCAGTTCAAGTACAGTAAATCTTAACTGTGTTCAGCAAAGTTGATCTGTTTACCATGTACTTTAACCTGTTTTCCTTTTTTTCTCTCATTAAGTTACAATGATGTAACTGGGTGGTCCTTTTTAAAGAAAAAAACAAAACAAAATACATTTGCAAAAGAGGGTATTTGTTTTTAAAGCTTTTGTAAATAAAGGCTCCAGAAATGTTTTCTTACATATTCACAGACTTGTGGTTTTGTTTTGAAACCTCTGCTAGAATGTCTGCATATCCAGTTAGTTCATTATATTACACCTGTCACATCTTAAACATCTGCAGGCAGTACAGTGTTTCAACTTAAAAACTGGACAAGAAGGTCCAAACACACCAGTGCCTGTTAGAAGAGGCAGCTTTGGCCCATGTATTCATATTTAGCAGTAACCCTCTCATTCTAGAAAAAAATGCACTGTTTGTGCACCTCCTTTTCTTTTTAAAGAAATTCTCATTTCTATGAACCTGACCACCTAATTTGCATCATGTGGGTTCAGGGAGAAAACCTTTGTGTTTTTTTTCATATTTTGGCTAAGAAGCCCTTCATGCTAGGAAGGAGCAATCTGGGGCCCTCCAGAGGTGGTCAGACTGCAGTTCCCACGATCTTACACCACTTGCTAATACTGGCTATGATAGGATCTGCAGTCCAACCTACGAAGTACATTGCCTGCTGCTGCTTTATGTCTTCAGCTTTGGAGGAATGGATGGAATGCTGCCAATAATAGTTTTTACACATGATAATAATGAAGTAAATTGATGTATTGATCAGTTGGAACCTTATGTGGGAACGGTTTCAACAAAATGGAGAATAAGGTTTGGGAGAAGGTAGATTAGACCATTGGTTCTTAACCTTTGCTACTCAGATGTTTTTGGACTACAACTCCCAGAAGCCTTCACCATCAGCTGTGCTGGCTGGGGTTTCTGGGAGTTGCAGTTCAAAACACCTGAGTAACAAAGTTTAAGAACCACTGGATTAGACTATTTTACTGCCTGGAACTTTTCTGTGTACAGGTTCTTACAGGGAAGAGTTTTAATCATTAAATACTACAAACAAGGCATATTGTAATTAAGAAGTGCTATAAAAAGCACTCCCAACTTTGTACCATACAGCCTACATTCTACTGCACCTGGAACACTGTCATACCTGTTTACCTTCTGCTCATAACAGACCGATAGTTCCACTAAATCTCTTTTTGTTCAGTGTAACCTTTTAGTGTTAAATGTGTCCTGCATTAGCTGTTTAATTTTTGGTTGTTTTGGCCTCAAATCTACCTATCAAGAGACATATACTGTGTTGAAAATCCACAGCTATAGTGGGTGGCACCTTACTGTGGCCAAAATAAAATATGCCAAACCAGGACTCTATTTTAACCTTAGAGCAAATTAACTGCCTGTTTTATTCATATCTTTCTACATGTGTGCCACTGCAGTCTGAGCTGTCATATCTTGTGCTAGAAAACATTGTTATTTTATACATTATATATAAATGGTGTTGAGCCTGCATACTTACCACATATGTATCAAGCACACTCTTAGGTAAGTAGTGCACTCTGCATAACCCCAGGTTTTTTTTTAAAATCCTTTTTCATGTAAATGCTTGTTTGCTGCTGCTTTCAAACCTATAATGCTTCAAGATAATATACTTCACAATGTTATGGTATTATCTAGAATGGGTGCAAATTGTGTGGCCTAAGATGGTCCCTCCTGTCCTCCCATCACTGATTTTAAAAATGGGCTAAACATGGAAAACTATGTCTCCAGAAGCCTTCAAGGGAATATATTTGTTAATTCTCAGTCTACTTCCCTACCTCTTATTTTCCCTAGCCTTGCAAGGAAGAATCCAGCCTGAAACTCATTGGAGCTAGATGGATCATTGGTCTCACTCAGTATAAGGCATCTTCCTATGTTCCCACAACCTTGACACGGCTAAGGTGTATCCCACTCTAAATAGCTACTTCTTCATCTACATAACTAACTCTGAGTTCAGAAGGCAGCTATGAAGTGACATGTGTGTGCGTGCATGTGCAGATTCAACTCCTGGGGCCTCCAGTTTTGGGTCTCTTTCCTAAGCTTTGTGTACTGGAAAAGCTGGCAAAGCCTGCACTGCCAATATGCATCCACCTGTATGTAATGTACATTACTACACTGTAAACTAGCATGTAAGTTAAACCATCTTCAGTAGTGTTTGCTTTGTAGCACAAGCATTTTCTGTCTCCCAAATTCAGAACCCAACAGCTTTGTCATTTGTTTTAAAGATTTTAATTTGTTCTCCAGCGGCAAGTTAATATAATACAAAAATACATATACTACTTTGTAGAGTACCAAAAAAGGAAAGCAAGATGGTCTTTCACTCTGTTCAATGCCTTTATAGCTATTATGTACTGTACAATGTTGCTTCTTGGCAAAATATACTTGGGCAACCACCAGATACGTTTGTCATGACAGGAACTGCACAATGTTTTTCTGCAGCAAAGCATTCCGAGATCAATTCTTCCTTTTGCTTCAGAGTCTTGCTGGCATTATTGAAGGAACACAGCAGGACCAAGAGCAAATGAAATGATAAATGGAGCATAAATATGGGGTAATATGTCAATGGTAACAAGGTCTTGTCTAATCACAGTACCCTGAGTAGTCCAAAAGGCTAATTTGCAATAGTCAGTACAATAGCAAACATTTTATACATAAACATGCATCCAGTATTCATGTAAATCAATGGAAAAACGATAGAGCAGCCAGCTAAATCATTGGAGCTAACTGCTCTGAAGTTAAATGTAATTAATGTTTTCATTTTCAGCTCTCTAACACAAATGCTGTTTCTCAAATGTAGAAATCCTAGATTGAGCCTGTTTAATGCATTACTAGTAAGAATTTTTTCCCCATAAAGTTTCAGATGTATATACCTGATACAGAAATGTAGTTATATGTATTTTGTGTAGTCTCCCGTGGTGGGAGATCCTTAAGTTATATCTTAGTATTGAGGTTTGTTGGTCTGCCCAGACAGAGCTCCACTGTTCAATTGTAATTTTCCCGGTTCTCCAGCATGCTTAGGAGGGGAGCAGCTAGCTGCTTTGGATACTTGCATTCTCCATGTGGAGAATGATGTGGCTGCAGAGGAGTGCCTGTTCACATAATGGCTATCCATGCAAGGAAAAATTCTGGAAAATCGGGGGTCTTAAGTAGAGAGCAAGGAACCTCTTCTCTGCAGTCATGTTGCTCTGCATGCAGAAAATAAAATTATGGAAAGGGAGGCTCTTGCCTCTAGTCTTGCTTGAATGAACCAGGCAGGAACAGAGATATAGGAGTCCTTGAAAATCACAAATTCAACATATTTTTACAAGTTTCAAATAGAAGCATAACACCGAAGCAGAGTACTACTGTCTAGTTATGTTACCTTAGAAAAAAAGCAAATGCTACGAATGGGTAGTTTTCCTTCAATGGCCATATATATATTGGTCTTAGAAGTGCACTGCCAATATTAGGGCTCACTAAGTATTTGAGATTCAAACATGAACACTGTAAAAGACAGTATCACCCACTTGAAAAAATACTGAGGAGCAACTGAATAGTCTTATTCTTACTCTCAGGTAAATTATACCATCTTGTAGAATGTTAAGAAATATAAAAACCTTTAAATCTGTAATACCCTGGTATTTATCATGATCTGAAGGGATTAAGACACTAATTGGACACTATATCCCACATAGTACCTCCCGTTCTACTGGCATGGCATAATCTGATAATGTTGTACCAAACAGTGGAAAACTACTAGTGTTACATGGTCTGTTTAGTTAACGTGATCACAACATTCAAAACTAATGGCCAATTATTATGACTAATTAGTTGTAAGTAAAAGAAATAGATGTTCCTGCAATTAATTGATGAGGGGCTCCTTGGGCACCCAACATGCACTTGCCACCTTATCTATTGTAATTAGCTGTGGGAATTTTAGCAGTTCTTGAGCATATGGGCCCTCTCATCGGGAGAAAGGCAGCATAGAAATAAAATAGATACATTAAAATGTAGCTATTAATATGATCTTGGACTGAATCATAACTTGGAATCAATTTATGCACTAGAGGAAACATTTTCTGTTGCTCCATTTTCTTTCCAGTCATGAAGTTCTTCAAAATTTAATCAGACTTGCAGGTGAAGCCTGTGTTTACCTCCTGACGGCAATAAAATGTCTTTTATCGTTTCAGAGAGTTATGCTTCTAATTACATGTTGCTGTCATCTAGTTCAGGCTTTCATTACCTATGAGGTTTGGTGCTTATAGTGAAATGTCATTGACACTGTAATGAGTGGGAATGATTAGCAGCCCTTGGTTTTTTCATTTATATTACAAGGTTTCCAAATTATTTTGAAAGAGCAGTTTAGATGGATCTTGAGTTGGATTTTTCAGGTTGTAGGTCATTCACAGTGTGACAGAGTGGCTGAAATCCAGCTAATGCAACTCTGCTATGTGTAAATGGCGATGATGTCATCACCCAGTGACATTAATTTAATTTAAAACTTCCTACCCCCTCTTCAGGTTCCAAGGCCTCCTAGGAATCCCTTTTCCTCTGGGGAAGAGGAAGGCTTTGGGAACACTGGGATGGGGGAAGCCTTTAAGACTGGGACCATCTGCAGCAATTTTCTGATATTAAAGGTGCCCAAAGGCCTTCCAGTCAAAAGGCATCTCTAGGGAACCTCTGAAACTTGTGTGTGTGTGGGGGGTCAGTTTTAAATTAAATGTTGCCAGGTGATATCATCAGTAGTTACATCTTAAACAACTTGACCTGTAATGACAAACTCCCTTTTTAACACTGCAATAGTAGCAAGAATGAATAACTTTTCCATTCCAAGCTGTGCTTTACAGTAATCTAAGGGCTGGTTAAATACAATATGATACAATTCACACAAGCAGTCCCAACATCTGAGGATGCATTTGTGTGAACAAGCATTAAAGTTGAGTTAAGGGACCATTGGATTGCTCTAGCAGCAATTATCAACAATCCTGGGAAATGTGCCCAGTTTGCAGCACTTTATCGGCTACTAGCTATGACATGTAGCACATAAAATGAGTTTAGAGAAAGGCAAACACTTATTTGAGGAGGCTACTAAAGTTGTGAATAATACAATGAATTGGCCTTCCCTGGCAATGTAGTGCACAGACACATCCATTTGAAAAACATTCAACACAAGGTATACTATTTACCCTGAGGTGAAGGTAGTAATGTTGCTGGTTTTCTATCACCTATAATCTGCTCCACAAATCTCTGGATCAGCAGAAATCATTATCAGAATCAAGTCTCTCTCCATACAAATTACAGAGATCAGATGCCTTCATTTCATGGCACAAAAACATACCAGCATGTTGGATGGAATGAGTAGAATATCCATCTGGATGTGCACAAAGAATTTAAATGGTGACAGCTAGAGATGACAATGTCACAGAAGTGCTACTTGTGACTAACCCCTTGCTCAATTATTCTCAAGTCTGTTAAACACTTCCTATGTAGACACATGCATGTTTATGCTAATATCCCAATGGGAACATCACAGTGCAAACTGACTTGGCTGAGCTGATACTTTCAGACAGCTGTAAACAGTAATCCTGACATACAGGCAATATGTTTTGCTTCATTCCAGGTTTTAGGTCTGTAACACACGCTGCATGATCAATCTGTTTGCTTTATAAAAATACCAGATGGAGTCTGAAAACGCATCCTGGATAGCGTAGCATGGGGCAATGTAGTTAGAAACAACCCATGTTTTGTCAGATGGAACAAATCTATCTTGCTATGCTGCTGGTTTCTGGTGATCTCAGTTTTTACAATATGAATTTGAAATGGGCTGCATGTATGACTTTTCCTCCTTTTCACTATATGTGCTGTACAACAAGCCCTCTTAGTGATCAGTCTAAGACAAACCATTCTAGTAGCTGCTTACAATATTCATTTTACCAGTTTGGAAGCCTGATATCTGGTAGTCATTGTGGGCTAGACAATACTATAATGTAAAATATGAAGAACTGTCTCTGTACAAACTATTTGAAGAATATGTGTTTTCAAGTTTTTCATATTTGAACCAGGCTGTGAACTTGTACAGATACTGCAATTCAGTTTTATGCCTGCAGATTTTCCAAAGGAACAGTGTGGAGTTCTAGTAGAAATCAACTAACTTAAATAACGGCTGAGCATGGCATAGCAAGTGGTACTACACCAGCACCTCAACCTGATATACTAGTCCTTTGAGCATACAGTCTATGTATTCTACATGGCAGTAACAGCTGTTATGCTGGGTATGATAATAATCCTTAGAACTGCAGAGCTTGAAGGGACCCTATGGATCATCAAGTCCAGCCCCTGTCAAGGAGGCACAGTGAGGAATCGAACTCCTAACCTCTGGTTCCACAGCCAGAGACCTAAACCACTGAGCTATCTAGCACTTAGTGTTTTATTCATCAAGAATTCTTAACCTGCAGAAAATCTCATGTGGGTTTGACTGCTACATTTGTAAAATTGAATTGAATGTCTTAATTATACAGATTAAAAATATAATATATTGGGTGTGTTGTAACAGAATGTGAATTATAAGACTATTTAAAATATATTCATGATCTATCCTATGCACACATAACCAAAATAATTAAAACAAGATGGCAATATTCTGTCAGTTGATCAAACCTGTTCTTGCTACCTTGAACTCCTTAGAGATAAGGTGGAGTACATCGTAAAAAAAAAGTTTACAGTGCTATCCTATAGAATGGCTGAAATCCTGTTGCAAGTCACAACTAGAGTAGGCTCATTAAATCAGTGGAAATTTGGTGAGTCAATTCTAGATGGTTCACTAATTCAACAAGCCTATTTTAGTTGCAACTTACTATGCTAAGCAATAGGATTTCAAGCAATGTCTGTTGAGAAGTAAGCCACTCTAAATTCAATCCCACACATGTCTACTCAGACAGAACTTTCACTGGGAATGTAACTCTATCTGTACTATAAACTATCTAAAGTGCTTGTTACTGCTTGTATACAATAACAGATTTGTAAAATAAATATTTATGTGTAACACAAATACTTTAAAGAAGCTGCAGATGCTAAACAATCTTTTTCTTGCATAAGTATATCTTGCAAACATAAGTATATGCAGCAACAAAGTCATCAACACACACATGCAGTTATTGAGATTTCTTTAATCACATGACAGTCCTAGTTTTCAATTAAAGTTGTGGTCTCACAGGTGTATAGCAGGTGGTGATGGGTTAAGATTATGTACATCTTTCTCCCATATGGGGACAGAGGAGGTGTGCTATTTGTTTCTCTATAACCAAGACAATTAAGTAGCTACAGAAAGGGAGGCACCTCATCCCTACATCTTCACTAACCACCAGTATCAACCCAATCCAATACCATACACTTCTATTGGAAGCTTCACTGTTCACAGAAACCAGCAGAATTTCCTTCCAGTGTAATACAACTGAGGTTGAAAAGTGCAAGAGCCATTATCATATCTAGGCTACATTTACATTGTCTTTGCCAACATCAAACATGTGGACATGTGGAAGTGCATCACTATGTTGCAGCCACACCCATTATGGGTCCGACTTATGTTCTATTTGAATCTAGCTTCTCAGCTGTGTGCTCAAATCTCCCTTCCTTCTCAAAAAGTTAGTGTCAGGAAAGTAAAAGCCACCATTTCCACAAAGTGATGCTAGAGCCATATTTAAACTGTATATTCTAAATTTTATTGAAAAAAATCCCTTACAAGCTATATTTATTTGTAATAAATATGTTCCAGGGAGTTTAGAATTCCAGATTTTCATTTGAACTTACATATATCTTTAATATATGCTGGTAAGTCTTAAAGAGAGCCTTACATAATTATTGTATCACAATGTATGGGGACAGAGGTGTGCTATTTGTTTCTCTATAACCAAGACAATTAAGTAGCTACAGAAAGGGAGGCACCTCATCCCTATTCAGCATATTCCATTCAGCAATGGAAGCTTTTCCTTTCCCTCTAATTATTTCCCAGTCAGAACAGAAATATGAAATAATCCAAAGACTATGCTATGGAAACCAGTGACTGGAAAATGCCTATATACTGTATGTGGTGTAAAACCATGTGCTATTGCACAGAAAGTTTTTAAACATCCCAACTCATGTTCTGGCACTTTTGGTGATTGAGCCTGCAAAGGTTTTTCACATCAATTCAAAGGATGAGGGCTCGGACCTTTCCAATTCATCCTCTTGCAATTGTAATGATGTACTCACAGAGACATTATGCCACCTCATTTTTAAAGAACCTTCCCACCCCAAAGAATCATGAATAAAACTCTATTTACTTGGTCACAGAAAAGGACAAAACTCTTAGTGCTACTGTAGCTGCAGAGTTCCATCACGGAGCCATGTTTATATTGTACTGTGCCCATAAAAGCAATGTAAACTGATCACAAAGCTGATTTTGAAAACGGCAATATCTGTTCCTTAGCTGTGCCCTTGAGTGAGACATACATTTTTCTCATTTAGTCTCTTAGCAAATCTGATCACTTATATTATGTAAACAACATACTGTAAAATGTGACACATTAAATGTATGTAATTCCATTGGACACAGCATGCACGCAAAGGCACTGATAAAAGCATTGTTTGTGAAACTGCCATTTCCTTGGCTTCAGAACTTTCTGAAATTATAAAGCTGGTTTTAAAACTGATCCTTCAAAAGTATCCTGAAAGACTAGATAACCTTAGTGACTATGTCTCTGCAAGGCCTATTTGGCTTTTTAATAAATATAGTCAGAGGAATAATAAATAGTATGAGCATGAGTGCAACATGATAATACACATTGCCTCATATACAGCAGCAGGGTAATGATGAGGAATGCAGCAGTTCAAGGATAGTAAATCAAATTGAGACAAGAGTAGTGTAAATTTAAAAAGCCTATTACAGGCACAAACTTAGGTTAAGCTTTAAGTCTAGCATTCTCAATATTGACAAACATTTCTATTAAAGTTGTATAACTAAATAGTAAGCTATTGCACATTTACAGTTTCACAAAACATTACCTTGAGCATGGTTAACTGCATACCCTTGACGAACACACATATAAATTAAGTTTTTTCCTGCTTTTCCATGAAGATACAAAGTATAGTCTACCTATAAGTAGGTAGTCAGTGTATAAGAAGGGAGGAGAGTAGTGATGTTAGTACCAAGCAAAACCTTTTCCAAGTTTACCCAAGTTATCTGCAATCAGTTCAGAATTACAACTGTGTTGCTAACTCAGCTAGACATAATAACGTGATCCACTCATTATACCCAGCCTACCTAACAAACTGATCCAAGTTGACAGTCCATTCCCAGGAATAAAGGTATCTTGCAGGTAGTAATCAGAAACAAGAGAAAGATTTAAGAACTGCTGCAAGAGCATGTTCATGCTATACATATACTCACCTGAGCTATCAATGCCGCTGCAAAAACGGCTTTTTTTCTGAACTGTGTTATCCTGTGTTCCTGCTTTGCCAACATATGATTTTCTTGACTTCCCTTTTGTATTTTAACAATATTTTGGAATGTGTTAAAACATTCTTTTACACACATGACAACAGGTCATCAAGCAATGATACGAAGACAGCTGAATTAGGTCTTGAAATATCTTCTGGACAGATCCACACAGCAGTGGACTGGAGCAGCTGTTTGATGAATGCTGATGTTATGGAGGAGTCCTTCAGCCTCTCATCAACAATAACAAACTACCCATAAAAAAAAAGACCACATCAGCTTGAAAACCAAATACAAGTTAATTTATTTTTTAAAGTGTCTTACCACCTAAATAGCATGCATAGCCTGATGTAGAAAAGATTACAAAAGAGAGAATTTAAGAGAGGAGCCACCAAACATTTAAAAAATAACTTACTTTGAAAATCCAGGCTTTCTATTTTTTACTTGGATGCTCTTAAGTTTCATTTTCCATAGTTAGTGCAGGATTGCTCATACCTTTGAAACAAAATAATGCTTTTGAGTAATCATTCTTTGTTGTTTTCTCTTAAAAGGGCGATCAGCCTACTTCTTCAAGTTGTTACTGATACTTAGTTTTACACATAACTACTCTAAAAGAGGCGACATTCAAACAGCAACAGATACTGCCTAAAATAATAGAAATTTCAGTAATGATTTGAATGATCATATCTGGCAATATGTTTGGCTAACTGGAATGAAAATTTCATTCTGCGTTAATGTAAATGAAAACCATTGCCACACTAGCATATAATCCAAAAAGGCTGTATCCAATGTTGTAACTGTATCAGAGTGCAAGGGGCAGGAAAATAGTTAGAGATCAGAAGCTTCCATTGTCAAATAATAAATCATAGCTTAGTGTGTCATCAAACCTTAAACTATGGTTAACATCTACTTTTTAAAATTCATGCAAGTCAGCTTCATAACCTGTGATAAACCAATTTGCTATGTTTGAAGAATAATGAAATACAGAATAACAAAACCAAATAACTCAAAATGACATAACTTAAAATGGAAGTAATCACTTCCCAACACTTCTTGCCACCATGACAGAGAAGAGAGTGAGTGAATCCAAGAATACTGTTGCTTTTTCCCCTAACACTAAACTATGGTTTACTCTTATATCAGAACTGGCCCTGACAGACATTCTGGAATGGAATCATTAAGAACATATTTGCAACCCACCATGGAAGCCTTTTTCACTGTAGTGTAAAATGGGACATTGGCTTATCTCTGTGAAGACCTATTCTGCTCTGCAGACGAGACATCCAGGAATGTTAATTCCTTTCTTCACACAGCTCAATCCTGCCTGGACTGGATTGAGAAAGGAATTAAGCCATTTTTGGATGTCTCCTTCTCCGTAGACCAGAATAGACCTTCACAGAGGTAAGCTAATGCCTCATTTTATATTGGATGGCTCCTTCCCACAGGCCAAGAGACATGGTCAAATTAAATAAAAACATTTACAAAACCTACAAGAAGAACGTTGAGCTATCTGAAGGCTTTACGCTTCATGCATTGAGTACTTTATTGCTTTATAGCCAATTAGGTTGTTTGCAACAGCATAGATTAAACCAGTCTTTAAAATATTATTTGGCATCTAATATATATAAAATAAAATAAAATAAAACCATCATCATCATCATCGTTCTCAATTTTATGCATTGTGGAAAAATATATGAAAAAAGCATGCAAAAGGTGATGTTAGTGGGGCTGCTACTGATAATTCATAGGTATCAGACAATAAGATTCCCTGGGGAGATTTAAATTACTAGCAAGAGATACCTTTTATCTCTTCTTTCACATGTGGGAAAACTGATCCCTGTACAATAGCAAACGAGAACCAACTAGATGACTGTAACGAGCTAGTTTGCTTCAGTGATAATGATTCTGTTCTGGTTGTGCTGGACAGCCAAAATGCCTCTTTTGCTTTCTTGTTTCTTTATGTATTTTTATTGTTTTGTCTCTGTGATTTTAATACCTTGCACTAACCTTTTTTTGTAATGTGATGTAACTCTATTCTTTAAGATGTAGTACATTTCAGTTCCTTCTTAAATATAATCCAGCCTATTCACAGCCTATCTGCTTGGTTCACGTACCAGAGATTTCCCCAGTTAAGGAAGAAGGCTTGGGATTCTTTCTGGTTTTGTTTATTGAACCTCCTAGATCCAGGGGACAAAATCCTCACAGCTTTTGTATAAGCAGAGTTATCTGCGCTTTGGATGGATGAGGGAGATAGAGGTGATAGCAGCTATTAGTTCTAGCTGACATAAATGTAAGCCCCACATTATCTATTTTTCACAAAAGCTGGTCAATATTCTTAATTATGTCAGAAGCAATCCAATCGTGCTTCAGGAGTGGAAGGATCAACCAATGAGTTCCGTTGTTTCCCAGGAGACACCTAAATGTGTTCACAGTCCTCATATTCTTTGGGAAGGCTTCTTCTAAACAGGAAACCCCCTCTGTGGGGCGTCTTGTGATTGAGGAGGAAATTACTTCACTCCTGTATGAAGCATATACTTCCCCTCTCCTGCCATCATGATCATAATCTCCCCCAGTCCATATTTTGCTTTCTACATTACTCTGCAAAAAGAAAAAGACTGAATTTCCACAAGCGCTGACAAAGCAAGGTACTTGCTTTCATTATTACTCATCATCAAGGCTGAGGCAATGAGCAACACACAAGAAGATTCTGCTGTTATTTCGAATCCATAATTAGAGTCAACAGCTGGGATTCCCCTTCCCAAGCAGAATGCTACAGCAAGTGGTGGCAAACAGAATGAAAAGTGGAATTCCTACTCTGGCCTTCTATCAGTAATTAGAAGCAGCAGTGGAGATTTCCAGATGCTCAGATAACATTTAAGCACCAGATGACATTCACTGTCCTAGATGGGATGGCAGGCAGACCACAAAGAAGGATCACCAGAGTTACCAGCAAGGATCTGTCTTCTCATGCTACTCTGATCAGAACCAATAGCAGGGATTCCAGCACTGGAAGAAGCTGCACTCCCAAGAACTACTTATTCATGATTATTTTCTTAAGCTAAGATTTCTGAATTCAACATGAGGTAAGTCATAAGTATGGATTGTGGAAATTAAATGTAATTAAGCTGTTTTTCCAATACAAGGAAACTCCGCTCAGAGTGGTCGCATAGACCAGATGGGCTGGATAAAAATAAAATAAAATAAAATAAAAAAAAATAAATAAAAGCTGGAGAGTTTGAACAATTTAATAAGTTGGGATTTTAAAAATGTGCCCCCATTTTAATCTTGCCATAAGGTTTATTACTTCCTGACTATTATCTTGCTCCTTTATTTTAAAAGTTATTTTATTTTAGTTGCAAATGTTACCCTTAATAGTCTAGAAAAAAACCATGAAAAATCTCAGTAAAGGAAAAGTGCTAATCTCTTACCAAGCTTGTTCTTTTCAATGTTTGCATTGGTTTCTGTCCAGGATTGAGTGTCAGTAAGAAGGTGGCTTTGGGAGTCTCGTAACGGTTTGGCAGGAAAATGAGGATTATTCTCACTGTTAAAAATGATGAAATATTAAAACAGAAGCAAGGATATCACTGCACTATTATAAGAATATCACATTTGAGGTTAGAAGAAAAAAATTCATTAGAGATATGCCACTCTTTCTCCTCTAAGTATTCCAGCCCCTTGGTGTTTGTATTTGCATTTCTGTCAATATATTTTCATATATATAGTTAAATATAACCATAGTTTGCTATATTAAACATATGTTAATTAACATATATTACAGTGGTGCCTCGCTTAACGAGCACACCGTTTAATGACGAATCTGCATAGCAATGCGTTTTTTGCGATCGCTAATGCGATCGCATTGCGATGTTTTAGGTGGCAAAACATCGCATTGCGATGATTGGTAAGCGTTTCGCTTACCAATCTTCGCATTGTAATGTTTAGAAAACAGCTGATCGGTGGTTCCAAAATGGCTGCCGGATCAACAAAATGGCCGCCCGCAGCGTTTTCATGCCGATTCCTCGCTTATCGAGGCGGCGAAAATGGCGGCCCTATGGAGGATTCCCGCTTAGCGGTGAGTTTTTTCCCAATAGGAACGCATTAAACGGAGTTTAATGTGTTCCTATGGGTCCCCCCCCGCATAGTGACGAATCCGGATAGCAACGTTAATCCTGGAACAGGTTAACATCGCTATGCGGGGCACCACTGTATATGGGACAGATTACTATTTTCTGCTGTAGTAAGCAAGGAGATAAACTTTCATCCTTGTATTATTATTAATTTCTTTAAGCAACTTGGAAAGGTTTTAAAGATGTTCATCTTACATACACTGCTTAAAAACAAGTTATCTCACATAAGGTGAAAACAGCTACATTTATCTCACCCTTGGAAGAGAACTGATATAATTATCAATATGTTCAAAACTATGTTTCATTTTATTACTGATACAATCAAGAGATTTCTGTTGTTTGGCATTATGTCAGCTGGCATTACCATAGATGAAGATGAGAAAAGTTAGACCTCTGAAATGAGGTATGGAATCATCTTTACCTAATTATCTTAGCATATGAAAGGACCTGTGACTTTTCCATGGTATTTGTTATTGATTATAATGATATAAAAAGCTACTATTCAAGGGTTCAGCCTTCACAGGCTCAATACAGAGTTATCACATGAACAGTGGCTTTCATAAGACACTGTACTCTATACACACATTCATGGAATACTGTATAGTAACAATAGTTAAACTTATTTTATTTACTGCATGTGGTCTAAAACCATCTACAATACAAAAATGACACCTGAAACAAAAAGAGCCCTGTTTATGATATTCTAATGCCCAAACATAACTTCTCACTAGGTGAACATACCATTTGATCAGTGTAAACAGATCACAAGGAAATAAAACAATGCGCTTTGATAATTTTTAATTCTATCAATTGTCTTGTAAGATGGAAAGCTAGCAGTGGTTCATGCAAAGCAATGCTCAAAAACACTAGTTTGGGCTTGTTTGTAATGTATGTGACATAAGTAGAGTAAGAGAGAAGTAAGCTACAGGTCTGCCATACATTAAGATGGAAGGCGCACCACAGAATAATCACAATTATTATACTATTAATATCATACATTTTCTTATCACAATCTAGCATTCTATATAGTGCATATATTTGAATGTGTGCAAATGCATCAGCAATGTTGTCTTTCTGTTAAACTAAGGTTTTTTTTTTCTAATACTGAAGATGAACTCTAAGTATGTAAGTAGATAGAGCTGTATTCATGCATTGTAAACCACTGGTTCTTAACCTTGAGTTACTCAGAAGTTTTGGACTGCAACTCCCAGAAGCCTTCACCACCAGCTGTCCTGACTGGGGTTTCTGGGAGTTGCAGTTCAAAAGCATCCGAGTAACAAAGGTTAAGAACCACTGTTGTAAACCACAGTTTATGACTCTGTTTCTATGCCAATATACATTTACACACAGACATACAAATCTGTGTCTAGTACTAAGCAATGAACAACATACAAAAAGCAACATAAGCAGCAAATAAATATGGGCTTACTTTTTGTTTGCAGCACAGTGTCCTGCAGGAGTAGAAGCTTGTTCAAGATCTTGATTAACGAGGCAAGTAGGAAAGGAACACCCATCACCCAAGCTAAACGGTGCAAATAAGATTCCACAGAACAAAAATTGAAACTTTTGATGTAAGAATTAGCTTCAAAATATGAATGTGCTCCCCATTATTTGGGATTAACAACTGTCTTCCAAATATAGCTCCTACCTGGTAAATATTGGCAACAGCCAATATTTTTTCTCATCTCCAAAGACCTGTCTTAGATTTTTGCTGAAGCCCAGGCTGAAGCCATTCTTATCTGTCCCATGTCGAAAAACAGGAGCTCGGAATGCCTCTTAAAAAAAAGATATTAATATTTCTTAATCCATATAAAGCAACACAACTCAAGAGAGAGAATAGATTATTAATAAAATGAAACAGTATTTACCTAATGTTGACTTGTTTTTGCTGACTAACCAACAATGATATCCAAAGAGAGAGGACAAGCTGACAGAGAACATGGCTGCAGCAAAGAATAAAAACATGATATGGAACTTGGCTTGAGTATCAGGAAGGCCATTCTATAAAGAAAGAAAACAACAATTGTTGGAATGCAGTGAAAGACAAATAGTACATATACTGTACATCTATAAATATATTTTAAAATCACCGAATATTATACACAAAATTTGTTTATCTGTCACATGCAATTCATTTCAGAAGTATAAGAAAGGGAACATTTTAGGTATGTTTGGGGCCATGGAATACTGTACTGATTTATTAGTAGGTTTACAGAATTACTAGAATACTTGTACAGTGGTGCCCCGCATGACGACGATAATCCATTCCAGGAAAATTGCTGTTAAGCAAAATCATTGTCATGTGAAAAACAATTCCCCATTGGAATGCATTGAAACCCATTTAATGCGTTCCAATGGGGAAATTACCTCGTCGTCCAGCGAATATTGCCTATGGGGAAGCCATTTTCCGAGCGCCGATCAGCTGTTCTCCCCCGCTTCGTTTTGCGAAGATCGCTAAGCGAATCGCTTAGCGATCATCGCAAAGCGAAAAATCGCCATAGGGGCCCTCCAGCGATGGCCCGGATCCACCATAGGAAACATTGTTTTGCGATCACTATAGCGATAGCAAAAAAGTCATTGTCATGATTTTGTCGTTCTTCCACCATAGGAAACATTGTTTTGCGATCGCTATAGCGATAGTAAAAAAGTCATCGTCATGATTTTGTCGTTCTGCAGGGTTGTCGTCATGTGGGGCACCACTGTAAATCTAGAGGAACTGGTGTATCTGTTGACCTATGAAGATATATATCAGGAATTCTTATTTTATACAATGATGCCAAGGATCCTTCTGAGAAATACAGACAGTTCGAAACCACCCACCAGAAAAAAATTAAACTGAGTTACAAATATGCCAGCCAGCTCAACTGACATATGCTTAACTGATCTCTCTCTCTCTCTCCCTCTCTCTCTATCTATCTATCTAATGTTATTTCTATTCAAAAAGGAACTTAAGGTAGCTTTATTACAGTTTTATATTATCCTTAATCATGATATGCTACCTTAAGCATCATTTTTTAAAAAATGTAATGGAGAGACAACAATTACCATATTTTTTGCACCATAAGACGCACTTCCCCGAAGGCAGCAATTTCGTTGCCGCTGGCCCCGTGGGGGGTGGGGGAGCCTCGCAAGGGTCCTGGAAGGCTCCCTCAGACCCTTGCCACGCTCCCCCCCTACGGGCCACGGGGTTAAAATCGCCAGCTTCTGGGAGTGTTTGGAGGCTTGGGGAGCCTGCAAACACTCCCAGAACCTGGCGATTTCGCCGGTGCTGGCCCCGTACGGGGTTGGGAGGAGCGTGGCAAGGGTCTGAGGGAGCCTTCCCGGACCCTTGCCACGCTCCCCCCCTACGGGCCACGGGGTTAAAATCGCCAGCTTCTGGGAGTGTTTGGAGGCTTGGGGAGCCTGCAAACACTCCCAGAACCTGGCGATTTCGCCGGTGCTGGCCCCGTACGGGGTTGGGAGGAGCGTGGCAAGGGTCTGAGGGAGCCTTCCCGGACCCTTGCCACGCTCCTCCCAACCCCGTACGGGGCCAGCACCGGCGAAATCGCCAGGTTCTGGGAGTGTTTGGAGGCTTGGGGACCTTCCAAACACTTA